TTCTTAGTTCTCTTATTAGCTGCAGTTCTTTAAGTTCGTCAGATTTTTTCACTGCATCGCTAATATTTACTCCTGCTTTTGCCACAGATCCAAGAGCTTGCGCTTCTGAGGAAATGAGGGATTTGTTGTTTGAGACAAAATTGGCCACTTTGGGGATGAGAGATGTTAGCGCAGAGAAGAAACCGTCTCCTTCGAATTTTTTTTTTCCTGTTTTAAAATTAAAGACATTTTTAATGTGGTTATTTTATACTGTATTATTATTAGTGATTCTTGTCTGTGGTTTTGGGTAATTTATAATACAGTTTGGAGGAATCTGTTATGATATATTTTTTTAACAGTTTGGGAAGTCTGTTATAATACATTTTTAACAGTTTGGGGAAAGTCTGTTATAATGCATTTTAACAGTTGTGTCTTTTCGGATATGACGCATTGTAAAAGCTGCGCAGAAGTGAAATGCGTCATATCCGAAAAGACATATACCTGACATCTCAAAACCGGATCAAACTGGATGCGCTATATCAGAAAACTCATATACTACTGTAATGTAATACACATAATAACGATGTATTACAAGAAAACTGAGGAAAACATGCGGATTTGTTTTTACTTTAAAGGGTCGCGATGTGTGGTTTCTGGAATAGGGTCGCTACTTGAAAAAGGTTGGGAACCTGAATAGACATATATAGAAAAAGTAAGTTACATCCTCCTTAGAGTTATATTTGAGGGGATAATGAGATTTTCGTGTAATTCTTGTACCTCTTCAGACTATTCAAATCAACCTCCGAAAATGACGAACCATGGCCTTAAAAACTTCCAATGATCACCATTCCTTCCGAGGTATCCCCGATGATTGTAGTAGAGGAAAGTTTATAGCCGACTTTTTACGTGACGATGAGCTTTGTATCCTATAACAGAATCTCATTTCCGTTTCTGCTTTTGAAAAAATTGTTCTTGGATATCTGAAGATCTCTGCTACAGTAATCATAATCCAGTAAACAGGCCACAAAGATGGAAAATGCCCTAAATTCTATTTTGAAGATATCTGTATCTAGATAAGGCAGAAGTTTCGCAGCCCAAGACAACATTGAGAGAACGATAAGGTCATAAGTAATAGTCTTGAGTAAAAACAATTGACAGCTCAACATCGTCGTCTGAGATTAAGATGGGCTCGCGATGGGTGACTTCTATGATGTATATCAGTTCTATTTTTCTTTCAGATTTAATTTGAAGGCAGAGAGTTTCTTGTTTCATTCAAGTGGCGGGACAGAGTGTCATGGAGTGGACAGGAGAAGACCCCACTAGTTATCGTGACAGCTCAGCGTTACATCGAGGAAATTCCAACAGTCTTACCAAATAGTGACAAAAATATCAACGTGTTGTCGTGGCCTGCATGTTCCCTCCATGGAATATCACTTCAATATCGTGGATCGTCATGTTCGACAGCGACCTCCAGCCATTCAACAAGAATTCATCCAGGCCCTCTAGGAGGAATGGCGAGGATTTACCTCCGTGACCTGATCAGACGATTAACTTTTTCTGTGCGTTAGGGAGTATTCGCCTGCATTGTAAAGTATGAATGGTCACATACGCTACTAATGTGAACGATCTTGGAATTTCTGCTTTTTTTTCTGTTTGAATTGTAAGATTGACAGTTCAATGTTTGTTCCTCACCTCACTTTGCGCGACTCTAACACCATAACCGAAAACTATACGTTTGCTATGTATTGTGCTAGTTTCGTCAATCAGCTTACAACATTTCAATTCAATCATATTGTGTTTATTATTTAGGGTGTTTTTAATCCTTGGTCAAGGTTCTTTTGGCCTTCAGTTTAGCTTTCTTATGGGGTAAATATATTGACCGTTTTATTTAAGATCTGCCCAGTCCCATTTTCACAATATCAACAACTTAGTACTTATACCTTGACTGCAATAACCACTAGACTCCACTTTGAATCCCTTGCATTGTGCTAAAGCACTGAATTTGTAAATCAGCATAATTATCATATATTAATTACGTTTATTAATCCATGTATACACAATTATGACCAAAGATACCCCTCCATGTAATTCATAGTAAAGCCAATGTTCGTTAGAATTCCAGAATAGGAATGGTTCGTGTCTATGATTAAAAATACATTAGGGCTGAGCGATATACGGACAATTAGTAATGATGTTCATGTCATTTCTCTATTCCCGACCTTGTTGTATAAAATCCTCAATATTTGGTAATCCTCGTATAACACAGGCACTCAGAGCACTGCGATAAACAGTCATATCTGTTGCGTGGTACCTGTAAAATAAGTAAAAATATGAATGAAAATGAACTTTATGTCATCCGTTTTGTCAATCGTACCTTAGTCTCAGAAACGAAACTTTTTTTTATCTAAGATAATCAGTAATAGCTTCAAATCCATATATGTCAGAATCAACCGCGTTTGAAAGTTAAAAAGACGACTTGTCTTGAGACACTACCATATATAGAAATGATATATATAGAAATGAAAAGTAATATTCTTAGTTAGCGCTCTTTTATAGGAAGTGTGCAATTTTCGTAGATTTCTAGTACTTCTGAAGACCATTTACGTAATATATTCAAGCCACAAATCAATCAATATCCACATATGGCAAACTTGTCCCTTTAATTTAGTTTGCGGCTTTATTTACATCAACAAGTCTCAAATGGGCATACCTGAAATTTCTTTCTGAATTTCTAGTCATACAAAATCATTCTACTCACCATTCATCTGTTACAGAATCGTAGCATTCTACATTAAATATAGTAGTTACACCATTAAAACCTCCTATAGCAAATATCATATCATCAATAATCTACAATTACAAACACATTACAAATACCATCTCATCTATAATCTACAATTACAAACATATAACAAATACCATCTTATCTATAATCTACAATTACAAACATGTAACAAATACCATATTATCTATAATCTACAATTATAAACACATTACAAAGACCATCTCATCACTAATCTACAATTATAAACACACTACAAATACCATCTCATCTATAATCTACAATCATAAACACATTACAAATACCATCTTATCAATAATCTACAATCATAAACACATTACAAATACCATCTTATCAATAATCTACAATTATAAACACATTACAAATACCATCTCATCAATAAGCTACAATTATAAACATATTACAAATACCATCTCATCAATAATCTACAATTATAAACACATTATAAATACCATCTCATCTATAATCTACAATTATAAACACATTACAAATACCATTTCATCTATAATCTACAATTATAAACACATTACAAATACCATCTCATCTATAATCTACAATTATAAACACATTACAAATACCATCTCATCAATAATCTACAATTATAAACACATTACAAAGACCATCTCATCACTAATCTACAATTATAAACACATTACAAATACCATCTCATCTATAATCTACAATTACAAACATATAACAAATACCATCTAATCTATAATGTACAATTATAAATACATTACAAATACCATCTCATCACTAATCTACAATTATAAACACATTACAAATACCATCTCATCTATAATCTACAACCATAAACACATTACAAATACCATCTCATCTATAATCTACAATTACAAACACATTACAAATACCATTTCATCAATAATCTACAATTATAAGCACATTACAAATACCATTTCATCAATAATCTACAATTATAAACACATTACAAATACCATCTCATCAATAATCTACAATTATAATACATTACAAATACCATTTCATCAATAATCTACAATTATAAGCACATTACAAATACCATCTCATCTATAATCTACAATTATAAACACATTACAAATACCATCTCATCTATAATCTACAATTATAAACTTGTTAAAAATACCATCTTATCTATAATCTACAATTATAAACTTGTTACAAATACCATCTTATCTATAATCTACAATTATAAACACATTACAAATACCATTTCATCAATAATCTACAATTACAGACACATTACAAATACCATCTTATCAATAATCTACAATTATAAACACATTACAAATACCATTTCATCTATAATCTACAATTATAAACACATAACAAATACAATCTCATCAATAATCTACAATTATAAACACATAACAAATACCATCTTATAATAATCTACAATTATAAACACATTACAAATACCATCTTATCTATAATCTACAATTATAAACACATTACCAATACCATCTCATCAATAATCTACAATTATAAACACATTACAAATAACACCTCATCAATAATCTACAATTATAAACACATTATAAATACCATCTCATCTATAATCTACAATTATAGACACATTACAAATACCATCTCAACTATAATCTACAATTATAAACACATTACAAATATACCATCTCATCAATAATCTACAAATATATTTTCACCACCATTATCATTGAACATAGAGTAAGATTTGCTACAGATCTCCCTTGACAGTTCTGAAATACTATGCCCCCTCAACCCCCATCTTAATAATTATAGAAACACCAGAGTTTAGATATGTCATTTTCAACACAAATACGATTCTACTATACCTCAATAGCAAAATTACTTCGTGAGTTATCCATTTCCGGAATTGTCTGCCATGAGTTGGTGACCAAACTGAATCGTTCTCCGGTATTCATACGGGATACACCATTGAAACCACCCAGAGCGTACAGATGTCCACGATAGGCTATTACACCAACACCGCTTCGTTTGTTTCTCATTGGTCGTAGCAATGTCCACTGGTTAGTTTCTGGATCGTAATATTCAGCAGAATTCAGACATTCTTGACCATTGAATCCACCACATATATAAATCTTTCCTGGAAATTGATTCATAAAGTTATAAATCTTATATTATATCACATATCTGTTAGATAAATCTAACCTGTCTCACGACTGTCTAATCCCAGCTCACGTTCCCTGTTGGTGGGTGAACAATCCAACGCTTGGTGAATTCTGCTTCGCAATGATAGGAAGAGCCGGCATTGAAGCATCAAAAAGCAACGTCGCTTAGAACATTCTCTTTTTCTTTGAAGTTTAGGTGATCCATGTCGGAGGGGATGACATTAAAAAGCGTCTAGTCTAGATGGGACAGTAAATAGAAGCCTCCTGTGCTACAGACTCTTCAAGTTAAAGATCCCACGAATGTTGGAAATCGAAAAAGTTGGCTAATGCTGCTGTCCTGTCCTACGAAATTTTGACAACTTTTCAATAACATTATTTTTTTTTATTGAACAGAGAGTTTGATTAGTTGGTTCAAAATGAAATGACATAGAACAGGTGATAGGGTGTGGCACCAGGCAGGGTATGCCTACTCTTCTAAACACTTGATACCACTTTTCATTATGAAATACTTACTCACTTATGATTGATATTCACCACACGTAAAAAGTTCATTAGCTGCTACCAATGTTTCGGCAAAATGTTGTTTTGGATTTAGAGTTTAGTTTTGCAGTTCGGGTCGTTAGAACTTGGTTTATTTATTCAAAACAATCTCGTCAGATGGCGTCACTCTCAAAGAAACACGTGAGTGAGTGTGTTGTCTTCACAGACTTACCCTCTAGATCTGTAGCACTAGCATCACTTCTTGGGATATTCATCGATTGTATTAAACTCCATTGGTTTCTCTGCTTGGAATATCTTTCAGCTGAATATTGGCGATCGTGACCATTGTATCCGCCCATTGCATAAATATACGGTTCTAAAACGGCAACACTCACATAACATCTGTAAAGTAAATAGACATTTTATGCAGGAAATAAACATGAACGCAAATGCTAAATATATACAATAGAAATAGTATATTGAAAGCTTGAACCGAAAAATCAGATTATGGACAGTTCCAAGTTCGATTGGACCAGACGGTTGTGTGAATTGTGGGATATCAGCTAAAGAGAGGTTGTCATATTGCTACCCAACAACTAGTTATGTTAACAAGGAATGCGTTCTACGTAAGATGCTTTGATTGGTTTAAATAACATCATAGGAATGGGACTGTGGTAGATAACTGAATAGATTGTGATTAGTAGGACTACCTTTTACAATTCATTGGTGAAACTTCAGACCATATTTTAGTTAAAGGATTAAAACATCGTACACTGTTAAAATATTCTACTCCATCAAAACCACCAATGACGTAAATTCGCATATCATAAGCAACGGTACCATGATATGCCCTCGCCTCTACAATATAAAATATATATTTCTAAATTGAATACGTATTGAAAATAGGTTGTCGGCGAAAAATTACAGATAATATTTTTTCTATAATAGTTTTTGCATACAACTAAGACAATACCTCAGAAACTCTTATACATAGCAATATTTTGTCTAATTCCGACAAAAAGTGTCTCTGTTGAGTATAGTTGAGTGTACACGGCCGGCTGGCGGTAATAACAGAAAAATTTGCATGAGATCGGAAAAAGTGCAATTGACTAACTAATCAATGATAGCGAAAGTATTCTACGAGAATAAAAATTCTTTATTAAAAGGTGTTGTCTCCCGTTGTTTTCTGTCAGTAGGGTGGTGGGCGGAGCATGTGCATAGAAAAATGAGAATTTAGCACATTTTAGAATTTCTAGTTGTGTTTCAACACATTTCTAACATAATTACTTATTTACAAGTATCATATAGATATTAATGATGTCGATGAATTACCTTTATCTACAGTTTTACATACTATCCATCTATCTGCTCGAGTATCATACGTTTCTACCATGGTAGTCGGGGATCCGCCACTCCAACCTCCAATAACAAACAGAACCTCGTGAGGTACCCGTGGCTTGGCTAGAGGATGATTTAAATCCACTTCTTTTTCCTCGTCCATGTCCAAATCGTACAGAAACTTCAATGTTTCTATAATAATCGGCTTACAAGCTGAACTCTCTTTAACGTAGGGATGTGATTTCACTTTTTCAACAAAATACTGTGTAGTCAAGAGACCTAATCGAATTGTTTTTAAGATTTTTGCAATGTGGCAGCGCCTTCTTTCGGGATCATAATCTATCCAGCGTAGTACGGCATCAAAAACAAGTTCTTCATTTTTAACGTTCAAATTATCACAACTCAAAATTTCTGAAACTTCGTCGACGTTAAGTTGTAAAAATTCATTACTGTATTGATGAAGAGAGCAGAAGTTCTTAAGAATATATTTCAGAGCAGTTCTTTCTAAGGTGTGACAAAAGTAAGCTTTAGCAAAAGCTCGAATGCCGATACAGTTCTCTGGAGCAAGTTGATCAGTGAGAAAATCACAACACGCTTTTACTAAACCTGTGACATGGAACTGCTCAGCCGCAGGTAGCAGTTCTTCCACATTCTCAGGGTGTATTTTAATATCTCTAGTATAAGCATACTCGATCAGTTCGTTCATTATTCCGGGTGAAACCCCGGGTATTGTTACTTCAATACGTTTATTGTTACCTTCTTGGTTCTTAAATAAAGCCCTGAAATAAGGGCTACACGCAGATAATATATTTCTATGAACTGGAAAACGTTTACTTTGAACTTTGATCACAGCATCACAAAAATCTCCAGTTCGTCGAAGCTCTGCCAAAACGTTACAGGCCTGCATACTAAACTTCTTCTGCATAGAACCATCTTCATTCGAATCACCGACTTCCATGTCTACTACACTACTTGATCTACTGTCTACATTCATCTTGATATCCTGTATCTATTTTTTCAACTATTTATGATTTTTCTTAATTGTTGACGTCACAATAGGACCCTGAGCAACAACATATGGTTAGGAGCTTTCATTTCAAATAAAATGGGTAGCTCAAAAGGTAAGAATCCGACATAAGCGTACGGGCCGAAGGTTTGATCAAAGGGTTGAGAAATCGGACACGTCTTCGAGAGCATCTTCCGAAAACACTACTCTCAAAAAGAAACGACTGTACGAAAGGGCGGAGTTTCCGTTTATAGTGGTAACCATTAATAAAAACTCGGACAAAACAAAACATAAATTTTTCCGAGATTTAGACCCCACGTTCTGAAAATACAAAAAGGCATGTGAGGAAGGATAACAACTGGAATATTCGTAATGACATCCAATAATAATTTCAATGTGTAAAAGGTTGAAATGAAAAAGTCATTTTCATAATGCAAAATTTCAATTGTCTTGTATTAGGAAGATTTGATATTTTACGTTTTAAATAAAATTTTACCTATGCTATATATTTATTTCGATAGAATATAGGTGTCTAAAATAATACATTTATTTACATGTATATGACAGAATGGTTTACAGAAGGATATGGTGACTAAAGTTTTTATACAGATGGCTACTGATACTATTTACAACAGGGGTTTTCAACCTTTTTCTTACCCCCTTCCCCCTATAAATCATTACCCCAGGTTGAAAAGCCCTGATTTAAAACATATAAACACAACTTTGCAATAATAAAAATGACCCGCCTTGATTGATTTAACGTCATACGATTACAACTGTGGTAGAAAAGAGACGTTAGCTCTCATATCAAATTGATACCAATAATTAGATGTTACAGATAGCAATTTAAAAACCACGGAAAGCAAGTTAATTTTATAATTTATAATTAAGTCAACTGGAACCACCGCGATGTTTTCTACATTATAAAAAATACCATTGAATAAAATCTCTCAAACAGTTCAAAATTCGAATTCATTTGCAGACTTATTTGTGTGTTAAGTCGGAAGTTGTTCGTAATCGGCAACCGGATCATCGATTACATGAAGGTAGTTGTGGTGTGGGTTGTCATAATCGTTTTCCCCACGGTTTGACATTGCCACATTGGTAGTTGTTTCTTTCGGTGTTTTACGATTTCTGAAAGAGAACAACGAGAAGTAAATGATGTGAAATTCTACAGAGCAAACACTATCCCGTTTCCGATAAAATGGATCTGAACCAAAGGTATCAATAAACTTTTATTTACATCTACATGTACAAGTGAATCTCAAGTTAAAGGTCAAAGGTCGATATGAATTTGAAATACATGTATATTTTTAATCTTAGAAGAACTAGAACTGTACCTTCAAATATACCTCATACACCAAATATCATTGTTTATTTTTTTCGTTCACATTTTTGCCGACAATTGAGTTATATTATTACGGTCTATTACAAATACACTTACATTGAAAGGTACAAATTTCGACAGTAACTTTAACTGATTACCTTAGCTCACTCAAACCATTCTGTTTGAGGATTTTTGTGAATGTTTGAAAGAGTATACATATGGGGTTGTCTTAGGGCAGCATCAGGTTTTTGATAATCAAATTAACAGTGAAGAGTATCAAGTTAATTATTTAGTTAAAGTTTTAGAAATATGTGGTATATTGCTCGCAACGAGCGCTTGTCATTTGAAGAAATGAACGCCTGTGTTGAAGAAATGAACGCCTGTAGTGTATAGTTTTTCATGGAAAAAGTCCCGATTATTCAAGTCACTTTAGTCTCTTTTCTAATTGTCGAATTTATCCAGTCATAAGGCAACATGGCGTGTCGAGAAGTAAGCTTGAAGTTCGATGTGGAATTGTGTAGATAAAAGGCATAATAAATCGGTAAACTTTATATTTTATATGTAATTGTTAACGCACTGTCATGATGCGTGTTCTCTATTGTTGCTAACAACGGTATGGATAAGATAAAACATAATAGGCGCGCTAGTTTTGGGGTTTTTTTTAAAGCGTGAAACCGTTTTGATTGTCAAGAATGATATTAAGTGACTTTGTTAGGGTTAGGTAGAGATGGCCATATGTTTTTACTGCCCATTTTGGTACCGTGCGGTGCGAATAGCCATTGCTGTCCATCGGTCCGAAATTGCTCTTAACACTCTAGAAGGCACCATTCTTGACTGATTTCGACGAAACTTGGTATGATTATTTGTAATCACCCAAAAATGAACCGTATTGAAAATCAGAAAAATCGAAAAATATTTAGTATGAGTTTTGGCCCTTGTTCTTGAAATGCTTGTAAGCACTCTAGAAGGTGCAATGCAGGACGGATTTTGATGAAACTTGGTGTGAGTGTTTGTTATCACCCAAGGATGAACCCTATTGAAAATCAGAAAAATATTATTAAGAGTTTTTATCCTTGTTGTTGAAAACGCGTTCACCTGCATAGAAGGCATAATTCTTGATGGATTTTGACGAAACTTGGTGTGAGTATTGTTATTACCCAAGGATGAACCCTATCGAAAATCAGAAGAATCGAAAAATATTTAGTATGAGTTATTGCCCTTGTTCTTTAAGTTTTAGCCTGTAAGGCCCAATTCTTAGAGATTTTGACGAAACTTGGTAATATTATTCAGTATCGCCTCAAAAAGTTCAAAAGAAGTGTACGGTACTGCCAAATATTTTTATTTAAAATCAAAGCTGCCAGAAGTTATAACAAGTTAGTAGTGTTTGTTAATGTTTTATTTTGTAGTCAATCTCTGAACAACAACAACTTTACTCTTCAAGTTACAAGTTAATAAAGTTTAAAGAGTATAGACTAGTTTTCACTGCTTTGTTGATCGTCTGATAACTTCTACACCCACAGTTTGTATTTAAATCCGAAATGGACGTGAGACTTACCTGATGCAACAGTAGACTCCAATACAGACAATATTAATGACAATCACAGCAGCTAAAATACTACCAAACATGATGTAGAGTTTAATTTCATCTCCTTCTTTGCAAACCAACATACAATTCTCTTCATAGCTAGGACTCGGTTTCTCTAAAATCACAATATTGTATTGAGCTCACTATAATAACTATGACAGAGGTCTCTATAGAGGCACAGATGTTCTCCTTTCTGAAACACCTGGTATCACTGTAGACTTAGCATAGTGCTAAGAGAAGATGAACGACCTTTATTACTTAATATGATTATCTGACTGGTTTTTGTCAACTCAATAATTATTTCTTTGTTGTAAATCTTTAAAAATAAATTAAAAACTTAAAATTGTGAATAATTTACCTGTCACATCTTTCTGGTTACCATTGCAAAATACATCTACTTTCGACCCGCTGCCTGAAAAAAAAACATACAAGGGCTAATAATCTGTTTTAAATAGACAGAAAGTCTGTAAAATATAAGGCATAACGTGTGAAGCCTTTCTGTAGAGGGATCTGATTGGCTGTATTCGTTGGCGTAAAATCCAATCAAATCGTTGCTTTCCGTGATAACAGAAAGGTGGATATTTTAGGATACGTATAAGTATGAAGTTCGTATAAGCTTGAAATTGTGAAGATGATTATAGATTGAGATTGGTCTTTCTGTCTCAGAACTCGTAGTTAATATAAGTGCTAATCAATGTTATATATCAAATCGATGCTTACGAACAAAAAATCTTGCATATATTACTTCATTCGTTTCCAATTCCAGGTCCGTTATTTCCCAACTCAACTCTTTACCAATGAATCCAATTGCTGTATAAAACATTATCACTCCAGAGTCTGTACAGATCAATTGAAGAATTGACAACTTTACTTTTTCACAAGATCTAGGACCAAGGTTTATATACAACACCTCCAGGTATAATATATCATTGGTAGACCAGGCAGTACAATATTGGGTAATCTCTTTTCCAATGTAATCCTTGCCATTGATGTAAAATATTGCAACTTTATTTGCAAAATGCATAGGGTAATTTTCTACCGTAGAAAATATTCTATTAACTATAATTATAAAATAATAAACAAACAATAAATACACAATGTATGTCATGGGTAAATTTATAAACCCAGGCAGAGAGTAGCATTATGTTCGGCTGTCCGACCTCTTTATTAGACCATAACCGCCATAACAGCTCTCAAGTAGTTACGTTACTGTTTTATGACCAAAATTCATTTTGGAAATAAAAACAAATATGTTTTTAAAATTCATTGACACCAAGTTGGAAGCAGAGATTAATTATCTCGTTTTACTATAGCATTGAGTCACAAAGTCACCTAACGTTCATGCAATACAACGCTGAATATTTCCGTTACATCGCCGACCAATCTTGGTCATAGTCAGCAGATCCATTGCAGATTATCGACGAACATGGCAGAACTGTCGCCTTATATAAAGCGGACTTTTGCAGAATCATCTCAGATGCAAAAATAATGGGGTTACTATTTCTATAATTTTGTCGCAATTTCTCACAAGATTTTCCACATTTCCCCATCGCAAACCATCGCATAATTCTAAATTCCTTGTGGGACATAAGGCTTACCTGGTTCACAAGTAACTGGAGTTTGTATCATTATATCAATAGATGCCTGTAAATGTACATCACATTGTTTCTGTCCACTACAGTTATTATAGATGTTTACTTTGTTTCCAAGGTCTAAACTATTCCTGTTATCACTGGTTACACATGGAACCGTTACATTTGAAGGCTTACAGGTTGAATCTGTACGCTGGTAGATAATAGTTTCTCCAGTAAATTCTAATTGTATTATTTTGTCTCCACAGCATTCTATCGAATGTGTTGTATTTGAAGGATTCAGGCATCCACATATTCTTCCAAAGGAGTCGACACAACCACCATCTAACGCTAGAACATAGAGATAACAATTTAGTACAGAAATATTTTTATATAATATCCAATCTATGATATCTTGTTCTTCAGTATGAATCTGTGAACTTGTAGAGTATTGTCTCATGTTCCATTTAATTCATTTGCTTTTGTACAAAGATAATTTTGTAAACAGCGTACGGTATGTTTCGTGATATCTATGATCCAGTGACTATGATATATATGATCCAGTGATTATGATATATATGATCCATTGACTATGATATCTATGATCCAGTGACTATGATATCTATGATCCAGTGACTATGATATCTATGATCCATTGACTATGATATCTATGATCCATTGACTATGATATCTATGATCCATTGACTATGATATCTATGATCCATTGACTATAATATCTATGACCCATTGACTATGATATCTATGATCCAGTGACTATAATATCTATGATCTAGTGACTATGATATCTATGATCCATTGACTATAATATCTATGATCCATTGACTATAATATCTATGATCCATTGACTATGATATATATGATCCATTGACTATAATATCTATGATCTAGTGACTAAAATATCTATGATCCATTGACTATAATATCTATGACCCATTGACTATAATATCTATGATCCATTGACTATAATATCTATGATCTAGTGACTATGATATCTATGATCCATTGACTATAATATCTATGACCCATTGACTATAATATCTATGATCCATTGACTATAATATCTATGATCCATTGACTATGATATCTATGATCCATTGACTATGATATCTATGATCCATTGACTATAATATCTATGACCCATTGACTATGATATCTATGATCCAGTGACTATGATATCTATGATCTAGTGACTATGATATCTATGATCCATTGACTATGATATCTATGATCCATTGACTATGATATCTATGATCCATTGACTATGATATCTATGATCCAGTGACTATAATATCTATGACCCATTGACTATGATATCTATGATCCAGTGACTATGATATCTATGATCCATTGACTATGATATCTATGATCCAATGACTATGATATCTATGATCCAGTGACTATGACATCTATGATCCATTGACTATGATATCTATGATATAGTGACTATGATATCTATGATACAGTGACTATGATATATATGATCCAGTGACTATGATATATATGATCCAGTGACTATGATATCTATGATCCATTGACTATAATATATATGATCCAGTGACTATAATATCTATGATCCATTGACTATAATATCTATGACCCAGTGACTATGATATATATGATCCAGTGACTATGATATCTATGATCCATTGACTATAATATCTATGATCCATTGACTATGATATCTATGATCCAGTGACTATGATATATATGATCCAGTGACTATGATATATATGATCCAGTGACTATGATATATATGATCCATTGACTATAATATTTATGGTCTAGTGACTATGATATCTATGATCTAGTGACTATGATATCTATGATCCATTGACTATGATATCTATGATACAGTGACTATAATATCTATGATCTAGTGACTATGATATGTATGATACAATAATAATATCATATCTATAATATCATATCTATAATATCATGTCTATAATATCATGTCTATAATAGCATGTCTATAATATCATGTCTATAATATCATGTCTACAATATTATGTCTATAATACCATGTATATAATATCATATCTATAATGCCATGTCTATAATATGATGTCTATAATATCATGACTATAACATCATGTCTATAATATCCTGACTATAATATCATGTATATAATATCGTGTCTATAATACCATGTCTATAATATCATGTCTATAATATCATGACTATAACATCATGTCTATAATATCATGACTATAATATCATGTCTTTAATATCATGTCTATAATATTGTGACTATAATATCATGTCTATAATACCATGTCTATAATACCATGTCTATAATATCATATCTATAATATCATGTCTATAATATCATGACTATAATATCATATCTATAATATCATGTCTATGATATCATGTATATAATATCATGTCAATATAATGATATCTATGATATTATGTCGAATAAAGGGCCAGGGCCCCAACATTGCCGCCTAAATACGGCATTGTATCTATATCAATTCAACGAATATCTAACTATTTAAGTCTGTTTTACATGTCGATTGAGAGAATTCTAAAATTCATAAGATCAACAAAACATACCTTCAACTTTAAACAGCAATAGACTCACAATACACCAAATTATCAGTAAATTCATTTCAAGTTTCTTTATCTGATGATCTATCCTTAGATAATTCCAACTGTTTTAAATCTCAACATTATTCCTCTTTCAATTTTACATTCATTGACTACAGTTCGTTAAAAATATGCATTACTTAGTTACATGACGCATGTCCCTTTTGTAATTTATGTCAGTGAATATACAGAATACATTATTATAATCGTAACAAAAGGGTCCACAATGCTAATGTTTATACCCAGTCTAGTCTTTAATAGGGTCTACTTCCTTGTGCAAAGTTAAAACTATTATTTTGGGACCTTCTATAGGGGATTGAAAAAGCGGTGGGGTGGGCAGCATCTCGTTTTTTTGTTCTCCATACTTTGGATATTTTGACTTTCCTTTATACACCAAAAAAAAAATAGGTCAAGCTTTTGTTTCGGATATTTCGTGTATTCTAGGGAATGGCAACAGGTAGATTGGTTCAAATCCATCTGTGTCCAGAATTATCCTCGTTTGAAATTTTAAAAGATGAGTCTTCATCTATAGAATGACATTTTTGAAGGAATTATGCAATTTGTTGTATATTTCTAGTACTTCTGAAGAATTTTTACATACATATTCAAGACTCAAATCAACCCCCAAAATAGCACATCTGTCTCTCCAATGTCCGCTTCTATCCCTGGCTA